GAGTCAAGGCCAAATCCACACTAGAAAGTCTATAGATTGCCTAGCCCTCTAGAGGCTTTCACCAGCACCATCACACATCTTTGACTGATGTTCTTTCACTATTTGTTTGCTACTAAGACGCAGAAGGTAAAGGTCATTGAAATAGCCCTTTAATACTGAGGGGGTTTGGGGATTATTCTGGCATTATATTTTGCCTTCATTTACCAAGAAATAAGATGCTTCCTTCTTCATTCTTCTTTCTGTGCATATTTCTTTTGTTTTCCTGGGGGATATTTGCTTTCTTTGCTTGTCATACAAAGCAATATTTTCAAGGACCAGTAAAAGACAACTAAAATGGATCTCTAGCAGCATGTATAATAACTAAATCTATACCTATGCAAAATATTGTCAACTGGACTCTGGGTGGTAATCACACAATAGAATATGTAGATGTCAAATTATAATGTACACTTGAAAATTATATAATTGTATTAACCAATATTACCCCAATAAGCTTTAAAAAAAAGAAAGAAAGAAAAAAGAAAAAAATATTGTCAACAAAAGCCAGGCAGAAGGGACAGTGGAAGTTGTATGGAAAGGGAAGTCAGCACAGAAACGGCCATTGCTCTTGTGTCATAGCCAAAAATAGAAGAGTGTGCTGGCATGAAGCAGCAGCTACACTCCATACAGACCAAGGCTCTTCTGGACATCACCACTCTGGGAACATACAGACCAAGGCTCTTCTGGACGTCACCACTCCGGGAACACAAACCTATGGCCGCTACCACCTCAGCTGTTGCTGTTACACATTTTAGGATAATGAGTGGAAGAAACTCCCTGAAGGTTTCTAGGTGGCAAACGAATAGAAACAAACTTCATTTATAAAACACCTCCCTGCTGAAATAGAGGTTCAGAAGACGTTCCTAATATTTCAGCTCCCGAAGGAAATTGACACTATGAGAGACCTCTCATTCATAGATCTGTTTCTGCCACAAAAATGTGACATGTGTAGCAATCAAGAAGAATCGTGTCAGAGTAGGAAGTATTCATGCTTGGAAGTCAGATGGCTCTATGTTCAAATTCTGGCTCAATCACTTAAAGACAAAAGAATAAAAAACAGAAACAATTATTTTGTTCCCTGAGACTTGCATACATAAGGGAAAGTCCACTGGGAAACCCACTAAACAGCATATTTCTGCGGTCTTGAGCCCAATCCCATCCTGCTGTCCTTATAAACCACATCTCTGTACCTATCAGTCTGTCCCAGACATACCAGACTCTGCGTGTCCTTCTCCCTGAGCTCCCATTACACCCTGTCAACATCTACATCAGTCTTCAGTTTCCTTTTTTTGTGATTCTCAACTTATTTTGTTTTACTGCTAACTTAGGAATGCTAAGAATTTGGAAAGATCTCATTTGAAGGGACTAAAATCTCAAAACAACAATAAACAAGTCATGAATAGTGACAATACAATCACTGCTCCAGTAAGATCTCATGGTGCTTATAAAAGCATCCACGGTTATTGCATTCTTTATTTGGGCACCACTCAGCACTGTTTCACTGTTTGAATAGAACTGTTTGCTGCCTGCACTCCCTCTTACATGCGCACTGAGCAAATTTCTCCTGTGAGTCAGTAAACTAGACATCTAATTATGGCCCTGGTTTGACATTATGTCTCACCTGTTTCATTTGCTTAACGCAGGTGGCACCTGGTTCTCAATCACATTTCACAGTCTAAGACCCTCTCAGTCTAATTCCATCTGAATGACATCACAGTGACAGGTCGTATCGCAGATATAAAAATAAATTTATATCTTGATCTAAAATTGATAGCTCAGTTGTGAATCTTGAACAGCACTGTGGTTGGGAACCACAAGCTTATGAACTTGTCTGTCTGCCTCACAACACTGTGAAATCCTTAAGATTCTTGGAAAAAGTACTTATGTCTTGTTCACCACTGAATATCATGTGCTAATAAACAGATGTCCCAGTCTTCTCTTACCCTACTCCCTCCAACTACATCTGACTTGGGTATCAAAACAAGGCTTGCGTGGGTCCTTTGACTGATAATAAAGCTGACTTGCTGCTAGTCTCTGCACCTTGGACAGACTTACTGTTTCCGCAGGCATATGCCAGCCAGGAGAACAGCTGCCACCCTGTCAGAGCTAAGGGGAGCTCTGTATTTGTCTACCAAGTATCAGCAGTCCCGGGGGGTATGGCTCACAGCGCCATGCACAGCCTGGTGGGACTTGGTGAGACAACAGGAAGAAAGGTTAAATGAATAACAAGTGTGTTCAGGACAAAACAGAAATAAACCAGTCAGAGAGTTGAGTGGTGACAGGAACAGGTTACTTGATGACTAACTGGGGAGAAGGACAAAAGCTGTGATACTGAAGGACAAGGAAGACAACACATGATGCAGGTGGCTGCTATGGTTGCCACATCTATCCCATAAGTTGATTTTTTTTTTTTATCTTTTATGGTTTATGCCCTTGGACTGTGCACTGGGTATGATGACTCAAATGGGTAAGAGCCACATGCTTTTCTGCCATATCTCTATGGGAGCCCCCAGAAGAACAGAAATTTGAATTTTAAGGCATCTTTGGTTACCTTAAAATTTAATTTTGTCTTTTTATACTTTTAAAATATAGTATAATTTACATAAAATAACAAGCACAGATCATAAATGTAAATATATAGTTTGATGAATGTTGACACAGGCACATACCCATGTATCCTGCATTGCAAACAGATAGAAAATATTGACATCAACTTTGAGAGTTCTCTTGTGCCCCTTCCAGACAATCCCACCCACCACTCCCCCAAGCAACTGCTCCTCTGATTTCCATCATGATAGATTAGTTTTGCCTATTCTGGTATGTCATATAAACAGAATCACATAGCATATACTCTTTTTTTCTGGCCTCTTTTGATAAACATAATGCTTTTGAGATTTTTTTCATGTTTTATGCTTTAGGATTTAATTTATTTTTATTGCTGAGTAGTATTCCATTGTAAATATGCAAAATTTGTTTTCCAAACCCTCATATATTTGCTCATTTCCTAACTGAATTGATTGGTTTTGTCCTGTTAGGTTTTGACATTTTTTTTTATATATTCTAGGTACTAGTCATATATTGAATATGTGATTTGCAAATATTTTCTCCCAGTATGAAGCTTATCTTTTCATCTTTTTAACAAGGATTTCACACAGCAGTAGTTTTCATTCTGATGAGGTCCAACATGTCAGTTTTTCTTGTTATGGATGGTGCTTTCTGTGTCAAGTCTAACTCTTTGCTCAGCCCTAGATTTCAAAAATTTCTTTTTTTTCTAAAAGTTTTATAATTTTACATTTTATATCTATGTTCATAATTTATTTTTGGTTAATTTTATATGAAAAAGCATATAATTTTTATATTATTTTTGCCTATGAATGTCCAATTGCTCCAGCATCATTTGTTGAAAAGGGTATAATTTCTCCATTAAATTGTTTTTGCACCTTTGTGAAAAACTAGGTCAGCATAGCTGTGTAGGTCTATTTCTGGGTTCTCTATTATGTTCTAATGATATATGTGTCTATCCCTCTCTCTGTGCCTTTCCAAATGAGTAGTAGAATAATCCTGTCTAGTAAGTAAGTAAATACGTACGTACATACATACATACATACATACATACATACATACATACGTGATAAATAACCAGCCTTGCTGGGATTTTGACAGAAACTGCATTAAACGTGTAGATCACTTGTAGGAGAATTGGCATCTTTACTCTGTCAAGTCATCCAGTCCAGAAACACGGTATGTCTCTCCATTTATTTAGATCTTTTTTAGTTTCTTTCATTAGTATTTTTTAATTTCCAGAATATAGATCCTGTACCTATTTTGTTGTGTATACTTAAGTATTTTCTTTTCAAAGTAATTATAATGGTATTGTATATTTAGTTTCTGTTTCACATGTTATTGTTAGTATATAAAAATGAGCTTCATTTTTATATGTTGATCTTATATGCTGTGACCTTGTTGAACTCACTTATTAGTTCTAGTAGAGGTTTTTTTGGTGGATTTCTTGGGATTTTATACATAGATTTTTGTGTCATCTGCCGGCAGAAACAGTTTCATATATTCATTTCTAATTCGTATGTTTTTATTTTATTTTTTTCAACCTATTGCAGTGGCTAGATTTCCCAGCACTATATTGAATAAGAATGGTGAGAGTGAACATCCTAGCCTTGTTTCTGATCTCAGGAGAAAAACATTCAGTCCTTCACCATTAAGTGTGATATTAGCTGTAGGATTTTTATAGATGATACTTATCAAGGTGAGGTGGTGCCTTAACTTACTGAAAGTTTTTATCATAAATGGTGTTGGATTTTGTTAAATGTCTTTTCTGTGTCAATTGATGTGACTGTATAATTTTTCCTAATTTTTATCAAATTTCTTGATATGGTGAATTACTCTGATTTTGGAATGATAAACCAGCTTTGCATACCCAGAATAATAATAATTCTACTTGGTCATGGTATATAATTCTTTTAAATCATTTTTAGATTTGATTTGCTAGTATTTTGTTAAGACTTATTTCTTCTTTTTTTTTTTTTGTTCTGAAGTTATGAGACATACTGGTCTATAGTTTTCTTTTTTTTTGAATTCAATTTGTCAGGTTTTGGTATCAGAGTAATACTCTGATAAAATAAGTTGGAAAGTGTTCCTTCTTAAAATTTTTTGAAAAGGTTGTTTAAAATTGGTATTAATTCCTCTTTAAATGTTTGGTAGAAGTCTCCAGTTTAACTATCTGAGCCTGGAGATTTCTTTTTCATAAGCTTTTCATCATGAATTCAATTTATTTAATAATCATAGTGCTATTTTAGATTATCCATTTTATCTTAGTTGAATTTTGATAGTTTGTGGGTTTTCAAGAAATTAATTTCTTCTAAGTTATCAAATTTATGATTATAACATTTTTCACAGTATTTCATTATTATCTTAGTAATAGCAGCATTTGTAGTGATATCCTTTATTTCATTCCTGACATTGATAACTGTCCCAACGTCTCTCAGTGGGGAAGGGGAATCTCAGACAGATGAAGGTGGAGAAGCTTCTTAGTCAGGCACTGTTGTAGCAGACTCCTCCTACAGGTACCCCCAGCTGCTGTGGTATCTCTGGGCAGGGCCCACAGGGTGAAAAAGCCTTTCCAGTTAGACTACTTGTGGTGAGGTCCCTTGCCAGTTCCTCTTACTAGCTTGGTATTTGGGGGAAGGTAGTCTCCCACCTGGCAGGGAGAGTACTTCTTGGCTGCTTATTGTTAGCAGGATCTCTAGCTCTATTCCCTTTGCTGATGGTGTTTGGCTGATTTCAGAGGGATTTCCTTTCAATCTAAGGGAGGAACGAACCTACCTAGGCTGCCTTGTATTGCTTGGTTTGGGGTCAGGAAATACTGAGTCTGGGTTACCTTCTTCTGTTGGGAAGGGCCTGCAAAATGCCTTGCAGTTGTGCTCTTTCTCCTGTTTGGGGACCCCTTATTGCGGTCTTCTTACCAGCTTTCAGAGTCTCCTTTGGCTATCTCTTGAGTTATTTCCAGAAGTCATCATCGCAATAATAGTTCTCAGACATTGCCACTTTGAGGTAGCGCAACCCCCAAATTTCTTCCGGGATTGGTGCTTGCATCTGTCACAGAAGCAGCTCATGAGGCTAAGGGGTCAACAGATGATTGTTTTGAAAAAAGAAATGAAATCACTTAAGTACCACCACATGCATAAATATCTTTCTTTAAATCCTGTATATTATAGTATCTCCTTCTTCCTCTTTCCCCTTAAGGCTTGTTTTAAAACTCATCTTAACTGGATTTAGTATGTCCACAAGACAAAAGAAAGTGTAGAAGGACTTATCTAGGGCCTTATCATATCTCTTTATTCAAAGTTTTAGATTAATTTCTCCCTCAAACTGAGTAATGAGAGCCTCTACATTAAAATGCATATTCAATCTTTAGAGCATCTCATAAATCAAAATTATGAGTTGAAACAAATACAGTGAAATTTATCGAGACTAAGGGTAAAATTTTTATTTAGGTACAAACTGTTCATTAATAAATACAAAATAAATGGAAACAGTTTATTTGAAATCAGGATAAAGAAATTAGTTACTGAGACCTAAAAATCCATGGTAATCTTAATATAAATATCAGAGCTGTTATTGCAGTGTTTCTCAAATTTTAATGTGCATGCAGATTACCTGGGTATCTTGTGAAACTGAAGATTCTGATTTAGCAGGCCTGGAGGAGGGCTTGAGAGTCCACAGTCTAACAGTCTCCAAGGGATACTGGTTCTGTTGGTAGTGGACACATTGTGAGAAGCAAGGCCCTACTGTGCAGGTCGCTTCCATGTGAGATAATCATTTATGAGCAAGCAGCACATCTTAAGAGAATTGTTGGGAAATGAATTTGATCAGAGAAGATAAGGCAGGATAGTTGAAAGTTAAAACTTAGTTCCGTGAGTAAACGGTAGAAAGATCAACCCTTAATCAACTAAGAGCTCTTTCAAATTGATCATATAAACCACCCAAAGGCAAACAAGCAAACAATTTAACAACAAAACATTCAAGACCAAACACAGATAACCAATTAACAGTTGAAAGATGTTTGACCTCGGCAGAGATCGTGGCATGCAAATTAAAAAAAAAAAAAATGAGATATCGTTTTTTCATCTAATGGATAGGCAAAAGTTTAAAAGTCGATAAGCCTCAATGGGAAAATAGGCATTGTCATACTTCGTTGGTGGACTATAAATTACCACAGTCTTTTAAAAAAGTAACCCAGCATTAGCTATTAAAATAAAAAATGTGCACATATAATCTGACTCAGCAATTTCACCTGTGAGGGGCTTCACTAATAAAATAAACCTAGAAGTATGGATATATTCACAAAGACGTTTAGTGCAATATTGTTGTGAAAAACTCTTGGAAATAACCTGAATGTCAGTCAACTAGAGATCGACATATTGTAGCATATTCAGTGTAAGAAAAACTTGCTATCAAGTTCCTGCCTTCCAAGGGTGCAATTGTGAAATAGTAAGATTCTTGCACTAGACTGTTCATTTAGTGGCTGTCAGAAATGCTATTTAGGGAATTCTTATAGAGACAAGACATTAGTCTGCACGATTTCTGAGTTTCTTTCTGACTCTAAAACTCCATGCTTCTATAAATTGGGCACAGTGATCCATAATGAAAGAAAGGAAGAAGGGAGGCAAGATTTTCGCCCTATTTTTATCTACTCTCATTTTAGAATTGGGACTTTGGGAGCGGGTGTAAAGGGTGGAATATTTTCATTAGCATCTATAGAAGCCACAGACTAAAACTATGTATCGTTTAGACACATAATAAATGAAGAGAAATGGTTGTTGGTTTCTCTATCCTTAATTGTTGAAACAAGATCTGTATTTCAGAAAATGTCTCCTTTATATTCACAGTCACTAACGGAAAGTGACTAATTTGTGACTGGGCAGGGAGACAATGGCGTCAAACACCCTGAGCATATGGATAAGTGATTCTCTGTGTGTCTAAGACCAGTGGAGCCTGACGCCTGTTTCTTTGCCTGGAGCATGGGCCAGCATAAATGTACTCCGGAAGGGAAGACCAGCATCTCATTATGTACTGAGACAGGGGCGATGCCTGCATTTCCCTCTATCCATGGTTTGCAAAATGTGACACTTCCTCAGACGTGCTTCTGGGGTCTGGCAAGCATTTGTTACACGTGCTTAAAATATCTTTTAATAATGACTTTTAAATAGTTTAAATATTTTAAAGTTAATTTAAATAGTTATTTTTAAAGTTATTTTTAAAACTGTAATTAAAAACTAACCAGCAAACACATTCAAATGTGACATATGCCAAATTAAAACACAGTGGAAAACACCAAGAATATTAATATACATTCTCATTGATTGTCTGTTTAATAAGTAAATATGAATGTCAATGCTTAAAATAACTTTGTATAAAAAGTACTATTTTGCTTGTTTTACGATGCAATATAATATTTTATTTGGAAAATAGAAAGTTACACTGCTAAAATTTTTGATAATCACTGCCTCAAATCACAAGTTAGGGAAGACAGAAAAGTAAAGGTAGAGTGAGTAAAAGTAGAAAGGAAGCCTGAGAAATTACTATTAGATTTGTTAATTCATATATTTTTCAAATCTTTAAGTGGTCCTCGCCTCCTTCAGAACATTCCTCCTTAAAACAAAAACTCTTTATTCCACTTTAGAACATTTAAACCTATTTTGTTCTTTTCAGGACCTGAGATAATATTCTTCCCTCATTTTTATTTTTCACTGTCATTTTGGGGAGAGAGGGGGTCAGTCGCAAGAGTTGAAGCTGAGTTGAATGTTGGCGATAAGGGTTAATGTGAGCATGCATGACAGTTGCTGTTCGAAGGGAGGGGATTCTTCTCAAAACACTCCATTCTTTTCCTATTGCAAATGTATTTTGAGAAATTAAATAAACTCGGAAACTTTCCAGCACAGGGTCTGGAGTTAGAGCACACAGGTTCAAATTCTAGGTCTACCACCTTTAACGTGAAACCTACCTTTTCGTGGGCACATTTTCTAAGTACTTTCTCAGTTTCCCTTTCTTCAAGATGAGGATAATAATAGTATTGACACCATAACATTCTCTGAAAGAT